TATACACCATGTATTGGATCCTGGAAAAAACATCTTCCTCATGGGTCTTCTTATCATCAAATCTGGTGGTATTTCGAACTCTCCATAACCAGTAGATAGTATAGATGAATGCAATTCTGAGTGCCTTGGCCTTGATCCCCACGCCTGCATGATCCTTCCTAATCCACTTGACTGAGCTTTCCAGGGTAGACATCTCTCTTTGCATTCCAATCCATGCTCTTAGTTTGCTCCAAACTGTGCCTGTAAATTGACAACCAAAGAAAAGGTGTGGCACCGTCTTCGGTTCACCCTTGCAAAATGGGCAAGTGTTAATCACATCAAGCCTGCTAAGATTATCATACGTTGCAAGGCGGTTGCGGAAGGCAAGCCATGCAATGAATGAGAACTTAGGAGGTATGTAAGCTTTCCAACTAAAGGGCATCCACACCTATTTGGTGCCCTTGACTCAAATCAAGTCATACATTTTTGAAGAGCACAATTTCCCATTTGTAAACATCTTAGAGAGGGCTGTTTTTGTGCTCTCAATGGAGTCATATTTTGAGACAAGGATGTCTCGGATCAGCCCCAACTTCTTAGTAAGCTGGGAGTCCCTAGTGTGTGGGGAAAATTCCTAAAATACAAAAATACAGGCGCTGCTTTCAAAATATCAAGGGATGATTCCCTAATTACTAAAATACACTGTATTTACGCTAAAAGTGCTCTATTTTCGCTGAAAACGCTAAATCATAGAGATAAGGCTAAGTATTTGTGACACTCATATCTTGCTGTGTGTTTATCCGTTTGGAGCGTATTATATCTCGTTGGAAAGATAGATCGGAGCTCTAAATCTATTGTTCCAACTTCATTAACAATGCATTAATTAAAAGTTACAGATTAACCATATATTCACAAATGTTTCTGATTTCACTCCGAACTGGTGTAGAATTTGATGCGATCATATCTTGCTTTATTGTTTGCCGTTGAAAGCGTTTAACATCTCGTTGGAACGATCTTACCGAGTTCTAAAACTTGTCTTCTGGATCTGGTTTCAAAATATCAAGGGATGATTGCCTAATTACTAAAATACACTGTATTTACGCTAAAAGTGCTCTATTTTAGCTGAAAACGGTAAATCATAGAGATAAGGCTGAGTATTTGTGACAATCATATCTTGCTGTGTGTTTATCCGTTTGGAGCGTATTATATCTCGTTGGAAGGATAGATCAAAGCTCTAAATTTATTGTTCCAACTTCATTTACAATTCATTAATTAAAAGTTACATATTAACCATATATTCACAAATGTTTCTGATTTCACTCCGAACTCGTGTAAAATTTGATGCGAACATATCTTGCTCTATTTTTTGCCGTTGAAAGCGTTTAACATCTCGTTGGAACGATATTACCGAGTTCTAAACCTTTTCTTCTGGCGCTGGTTTCAAAATATCAATGGATGATTCCCTAATTACTAAAATACACTGTATTTACGCTAAACGTGCTCTATTTTCGCTTAAAACGCTAAATCATAGAGATAAGGCTGAGTATTTGTGACACTCATATCTTTCTGTGTGTTTATACGTTGGAGCGTATTATATCTCGTTGGAAAGATAGATCGGAGCTCTAAACCTATTGTTCCAACTTCATTTACAATGCATTAGTTAAAAGTTACATATTAACCATATATTCAAAAATGTTTCTGATTTCACTCCGAACTCGTGTAAAATTTGATGCGATCATATCTTGCTCTTTGTTGTGTCGTTGAAAGCGTTTAATATCTCGTTTGAAAGATCTTACCTAGTTCTAAAACTTGTCTTCAGGCGCTGGTTTCAAAAAATCAAGTGAATATTGCCTAATTACTGAAATACACTGTATTTACGCTAAAAGTGCTCTGTTTTAGCTGAAAACGCTAAATCAAAGAGATAGGGCTAAGTATTTGTGACACTCATATCCTGCTGTGTGTTTATCCGTTTGGGGCGTATTATATCTCGTTGGAAAGATAGATCTGAGCTCTAAAGCTATTGTTCCAACTTCATTGACAATGCATTAATTAAAAGTTACAGATTAACCATATATAAACAAATGTTTCTGATTTCACTTTGAACTCGTGTAGAATTTGATGTGATCATATATTGCTCTATTTTGTGCCATTGAAAGCGTTTAATATCTCGTTGGAAAGATCTTACCAAGTTCTAAAACTTGTCTTCAGGCGCTGGTTTCAAATTAGCAAGGGATGATTTTCTAATTACTAAAATGCACTGTATTTACGCTAAAAGTGCTCTATTTTCGCTGAAAACGCTAAATCATAGAGATAAGGCTAAGAATTTATGACACTCATATCTTGCTGTGTGTTTATCCGTTTGGAGCGTTTTATATCTCGTTGGAAAGATAGATCGGAGATCTAAAGCTATTGTTCCAACTTCATTTACAATGCATTAATTAAAAGTTACAGATTAACCATATATTCTCAAATGTTTCTGATTTCACTCCGAATTCGTGTAGAATGTGATGCGATCATTTCATGCTCTATTTTTTGCCGTTCAAAGCTTTTAATATCTCGTTGGAAAGATCTTACCGAGTTCTAAAACTTGTCTTCAGGCTCTGGTTTCAGAATATCAAGGGATGATAACCTAATTACTAAAATACACTGTATTTTCGCTAGAGGTGCTCTATTTTCGCTGAAAACACTAAATCATAGAGATAAGGCTAAGTATTTGTGACACTCATATCTTGCTGTGTGTTTATCCATTTGGAGCGTATTATATCTCGTTGGAAAGATAGATCGGGGCTCTGAAGATATTGTTCCAACTTCATTCACAATTCATTAATTAAAAGTTACAGATTAACCATATATTCACAAATGTTTCTTATTTCACTCCGAAATCGTGTAGAATTTGATGGGATCATATCTTGCTCTATTTTGTGCCGTTGAAAGCGTTTAATATCTCGTTGGAAAGATCGTACTGAGTTCTAAAACTTCTCTTCAGGCACTGGTTTCAAAATATCAAGGAATAATTGCCTAATTACTATAATTCACTGTATTTACGCTATAAGTGCTCTATTTTCGCTGAAAACGCCTAATCGTAGAGATAAGGCTAAGTATTTGTGACACTCATATCTTGCTGTGTGTTTATCCGTTTGGAGCGTATCATATCTCATTGGAAAGATATATCGGAGCTCTAAAGCTATTGTTCAACCTTCATTTACAATGCATTAATTAAAAGTTACAGATTAACCATATATTCACAAATGTTTCTGATTTCACTCCGAACTCGTGTAGAATTTGATGCGATCATATCTTGCTCTATTTTGTGTCGTTGAAAGCATTTAATATCTCGTTGGAAAGATCTTACCGAGTTCTAAAACTTGTCTTCAGGCGCTGGTTTCAAAATATCAAGGGATGATTGCCTAATTACTAAAGTACACTGTATTTTCGCTAAATGTGCTCTATTTTCGCTAAAAACGCTAAATCATAGAGATAAGGCTAAGTATTTGTGACACTCATATCTTGCTGTGTGTTTATCCGTTTGGAGCGTATTATATCTCGTTGGAAATATAGATCGGAGATCTAAAGATATTGTTCCAACTTCATTTACAATGCATTATTTAAAAGTTAAAGATTAACCATATATTCACAAATGCTTCTGATTTCACTCCGAACTCGTGTCGAATGTGATGCGATCATATCATGCTCTATTTTTTACCGTTGAAAGCGTTTAATATCTCGTTCGAAAGATCTTACCGAGTTCTAAAACTTGTCTTCAGGCTCTGGTTTCAGAATATCAAGGGATGATTGCCTAATTACTAAAATACACTGTATTTACGCTAAAAGTGCTCTATTTTCGCTGAAAACGCTAAATCATAGAGATAAGGCTACGTATTTGTGACACTCATATCTTGCTGTGTGTTTATCCGTTTGGAGCGTATTATATCTCGTTGGAAAGATAGATCGGAGTTCTAAAGCTATTGTTCTAACTTCATTTACAATGCATTAATTAAAAGTTACAGATTAACCAGATATTCACAAATGTTTCTGATTTCACTCTGAACTCGTGTAGAATTTGATTCGATCATATCTTGCTCTATTTTTTGCCATTGAAAGCATTTAATATCTCGTTGGAAAGATCTTACCGAGTTCTAAAACATGTCTTTGGGCGCTGGTTTCAAAATATTAAGGGATGATTGCCTAATTACTAAAATAAACTTTATTTACGCTAACAGTGCTCTATTTTCGCTGAAAACGCTAAATCATAGAGATAAGGCTAAGTATTTGTGACACTCATATCTTGCTGTGTGTTTAACCGTTTAGAGCGTATTATATCTCGTTGGAAAGATAGATCGGAGCTAATAATAATAATAATATTAATAATAATAATATTAATAATAATAATAATAATAACAACAACAACAACAACAACAACAACAACAACAATAATAATAATAATAATAATAATAATAATAATAATAATAATAATAATAATAATAATAATAAGAATAATAAGAATAATAATAATAATAGTAATAATAATAGTAATAATAATAGTAATAAAAATAGTAATACACTGTATTTACGCTAAAAGTGCTCTATTTTCGCTGAAAACGCTAAATCATAGAGATAAGGCTAAGTATTCGTGACACTCATATCTTGCTGTGTGTTTATCCGTTTGGAGCGTATTATTTCTCGTTGGAAAGATAGATCGGAGCTCTAAAGCTATTGTTCCAACTTCATTTACAATGCATTAATTAAAAGTTACAGATTAACCATATATTCACAAATGTTTCTGATTTCACTCCGAACTCGTGTAGAATTTGATGCGATCACATCTTGCTCTTTGTTGTGCCATTGAAAGCGTTTAATATCTCGTTTGAAAGATCATACCGAGTTCTATTTTTTTGGATAAAATGTAAGTATATTATAAAAATCATCCAAAAGTAACAATACATGTGTCAAAATTAACAATCTAAGCTAGTAAACTAACCTAAAATAGTAACTACCGTTCACATCCCCCCCACCCCCACTTCACAGCAGGGGTAGGGGAGATAGGATTTTTTTGTTTCCAAAATACATTCCAAGAATGGCACGGGACATGCCCCGGCTCATTCATCAAAATACATCAAAAGCCCATAATGGGAAATTCCAGCAAAAATCATAGCCCAAGATGTCAATCTCTACAGTCCATCTTCCCAAAGCAGAAAGCTAGCAACGAAGCTCACAAAATCAGTAGCAGCAGCGCAGCCCACAAACTAGCAGCAGCAGTAAAGCCCAAAAACCAGCAGCAGCGAAGTCCACAAAAAAAAAACCCAATACCTATGCACATCCCAGCATTCGAGCTAGGGTTTAGAAAGATCAGCCCAACAGCTCATCGCATCCATCCCAGCGCCGCAGCAGTAAGCCCCCAATTTCAAATTCGATCCCACGTGTTGCTACAGTAACCGACAGGTGTCAGGCGGTCCAATCAATGCCATCAGTCAGTGTCGTTGACTTATTGAACGCCGTCGCCGGCGAGTACCGGACGGTCACAAGTAGCCCAAGAATTCAGATCCGTCACGCTCGCTCGTGACCACCCACTTCCCCCCTACCCCACCAGGTCCCGGTGGCTTCCAGGCGGTCAGGCAGGAGAGTAATAGAGTGTGTAACCAGCCGGGAAAGTAGCGTCCGGCGGTTCCAACCCCAGCACGACGGTGGTTATCCCCGGCGAAACCCAAAACGCTTTCAGGAAAACTTAACGCAACCAGAACGTCACACAACCTCGAAGATCATCTCCGGTCACCCTGTAATCGCTTCAGAGCCCCCGTTCCTCTTCTCCGGCAAAACTGTCATCCAAAACACCCTCCCCCTCCAGACCCCCCCACCTGGCTCCAGCGTCAACCAGGCTTTCCGGTGGCCAGAGAACAGAGATAGAACAAACAAAAAACAGCCGGAAATGTAACCAAGCCCAACCGGTAACCCCCCTTTCACCCCCACCCCCGCTTGACCCCGGCGACCCCAAACGGCAATGGTAGGTAGTGTTAGAGGGCGGTAGGACAGTAGCCGGACGAAAAGTAGCACCCAGCGGTTCCAACCCCAGCAGTACGGTGGTCTTCTCCGTCGACCCCAGGTTGCTTTCTAAGTAAAATACACAGAAAGAATTCCTTACCAGAGAATAACACATAGAAGGCCTTGTAGTCGCACCAATCCCCCCAGTCGTCTTCTCCGGCTATCAGCTCCCCAAATGACAAACCTTCCAGGATTCTCAAAAAGTGCTCCAGACCACCATCCATCCCCATATCAAGAATCGTACAAGTCAAACCCCTCCAAGTTGGGAACGTAACCAGACACATCACCATGACCATCAATGGAGACGGTGGTGGCTGTTGCAATTCTAGCCCTCCTTTCCGGTTGCACGAAGTTTCAAAAAACTCATAGGTCATCCGTAAGTGGAACTGTAACCATGGAACCTCAGACCCGCCGGAGCCAGGAGGGCCCCGGCGGCGGCGGCCGCCGTGTGTGGTGGTGCCGACCTGAAGAAAAACCGTGAGGGGAAGAGTCTAGCCGCGAATGGCTAGAGAGAGACGCTCTCAACTTCTCCCTCCTCGGTTTCTCTCAGGCGCTGGTTTCGAGATCATACCGAGTTCTAAAACTTGTATTCAGGTGCTGGTTTCAAAAAATCAAGGGATTATTGCGTAATTACTAAAATACACTGTATTTACGCTAAAAGAGCTCTATTTTAGGTGAAAACGCTAAATCATAGAGAAAAGGCTAAGTATTTGTGACACTCATATCCTGCTGTGTGTTTATCCGTTTGGGGCGTATTATATCTCGTTGGAAAGATATATCGGAGCTCTAAAGCTATTTTTCCAAGTTCATTTACAATGCATTAATTAAAAGTTACAAATTAACCATATATAAACAAATGTTTCTGATTTCACTCCGAACTCGTGTGGAATTTGATGCGATCATATCTTGCTCTATTTTGTGTCGTTGAAATTGTTTAATATCTCGTTGGAAAGATCTTACCGAGTTCTAAAACTTGTTTTCAGGCGCTGGTTTCAGAATATCAAGGGATGATTGCCTAATTACTAAAATACACTGTATTTACGCTAAAAGTGGTCTTCGCTGAAAACGCTAAATCATAGAGATAAGGCTATGTATTTGTGACACTCATATCTTGCTGTGTGTTTATCCGTCTGGAGCGTATTATATCTCGTTGGAAAGATAGATCGGATTTCTAAAGCTATTGTTCTAACTTCATTTACAATGCATTAATTAAAAGTTACAGATTAACCAGATATTCACAAATGTTTCTGATTTCACTCCGAACTCGTGTAGAATTTGATGCAATCATATCTTGCTCTATTTTGTGCCATTGAAAGCATTTAATATTTTGTTGGAAAGATCTTACCGAGTTCTAAAACATGTCTTTGGGTACTGGTTTCAAAATATCAAGGGATGATTGCCTAATTACTAAAATAAACTTTATTTACGCTAACAGTGCTCTATTTTCGCTAAAAACGCTAAATCATAGAGATAAGGCTAAGTATTTGTGACACTCATATCTTGCTGTGTGTTTAACCGTTTGGAGCGTATTATATCTCGTTGGAAAGATAGATCGGAGCTAATAATAATAATAATAATAATTATTATTATTATTATTATTATTATTATTATTATAATAATAATAATAATAATAATAATAATTATTATTATTATTATTATTATTATTATTATTATTATAATAATAATAATAATAATAATAATAATAATAATAATAATCATAATAATAATAATAATAATATTAATAATAATAATAATAAGAATAAGAATAATAATAATAATAATAATACTAATACTAATAATAATAATAATAACAATAATAATAATAATAATAATAAGAAAAATAATAATAATAATAATAATAATAATAATAATAATATTAATAATAGTAATAATAGTAATAATAATAGTAATAATAATAGTAATAAAAATAGTAATAAAAATAGTAATACACTGTATTTACGCTAAAAGTGGTCTATTTTCGCTGAAAACGCTAAATCATAGAGATAAGACTAAGTATTCGTAACAATCATATCTTGTTGTGGGTTTATCCGTTTGGGGCGTATTTTATCTCGTTGGAAATATAGATCGGAGCTCTAAAGCTATTGTTCCAACTTCATTTACAATGCATTAATTAAAAGTTACAGATTAACCATATATTCACAAATGTTTCTGATTTCACTCCGAACTCGTGTAGAATTTGACGCGATCACATCTTTCTCTTTGTTGTGCCATTGAAAGCGTTTAATATCTCGTTTGAAAGATCATACCGAGTTCTAAAACTTGTCTTCAGGCGCTGGTTTCAGAATATCAAGGGATGATTGCCTAATTACTAAAATACACTGTATTTACGCTAAAAGTGCTCTTCGCTGAAAACGCTAAATCATAGAGATAAGGCTATGTATTTGTGACACTCATATCTTGCTGTGTGTTTATCCGTTTGGAGCGTATTATATCTCGTTGGAAAGATAGATCGGATTTCTAAAGCTATTGTTCTAACTTCATTTACAATGCATTAATTAAAAGTTACAGATTAACCAGATATTCACAAATGTTTCTGATTTCACTCCGAACTCGTGTAGAATTTGATGTGATCATATCTTGCTCTATTTTGTGCCATTGAAAGCATTTAATATCTCGTTGGAAAGATCTTACCGAGTTCTACGTCCAAAAAGGTTGAATCCCCAACCCCAAGGGCCCCCCCACCCCGACCCGACAGGATGGTGGGGGAGTAAATCACGGTGACTCAGTCGGCAAAGCGGCAGTAGGCCTTTACCCGTGCGCACCAGAGGGCCAGCCTTATTTCAGGTTCTGAAAACCCCTTTTTGGCCGCTGCGTGATTCGAACCTTGGTCTACGTCCCATTGTTCCCACCACTCGACCAACTGAGCTACCCGTGCGGGTATCTTACCGAGTTCTAAAACATGTCTTTGGGCGCTGGTTTCAAAATATCAAGGGATGATTGCCTAATTACTAAAATAAACTTTATTTACGCTAACAGTGCTCTATTTTCGCTGAAAACGCTAAATCATAGAGATAAGGCTAAGTATTTGTGACACTCATATCTTGTTGTGTGTTTAACCGTTTGGAGCGTATTATATCTCGTTGGAAAGATAGATCGGAGCTAATAATAATAATAATAATAATAATAATAATAATAATAATAATAATAATAATAATAATAATAATAATAATCATAATAATAATAATAATAATAATAATAATAATAATAATAATAATAATAATAATAATAATAATAATAATAATAATAATAATAATAAGAATAATACTAATACTAATAATAATAATAATAATAATAATAATAATAAAAATAATAATAATAATAATAATACTATTAATAATAGTAATAATAGTAATAGTAATAATAATAGTAATAAAAATAGTAATACACTGTATTTACGCTAAAAGTGCTCTATTTTCGCTGAAAACGCTAAATCATAGAGATTAGACTAAGTATTCGTAACACTCATATCTTGTTGTGGGTTTATCCGTTTGGGGCGTATTATATCTCGTTGGAAAGATAGATCAGAGCTCTAAAGCTGTTGTTCCAACTTCATTGACAATGCATTAATTAAAAGTTGCAGATTAACCATATATTCACAAATGTTTCTGATTTCACTCCGAACTCGTGTAGAATTTGATGCGATCACATCTTGCTCTTTGTTGTACCATTGAAAGCGTTTAATATCTCGTTTGAAAGATCATACCGAGTTCTAAAACTTGTCTTCAGGCGCTGGTTTCAAAAAATCAAGGGATTATTGCCTAATTACTAAAATACACTGTATTTACGCTAAAAGTGCTCTATTTTAGCTGAAAACGCTAAATCATAGAGATAAGGCTAAGTATTTGTGACACTCATATCCTGCTGTGTGTTTATCCGTTTGGGGCGTATTATATCTCGTTGGAAAGATAGATCGGAGCTCTAAAGCTATTGTTCCAACTTCATTTACAATGCATTAATTAAAAGTTACAAATTAACCATATATAAACAAATGTTTCTGATTTCACTCCGAACTCGTGTAGAATTTGATGCGATCATATCTTGCTCTATTTTGTGTTGTTGAAATTGTTTAATATCTCGTTGGAAAGATCTTACCGAGTTCTAAAACTTGTTTTCTGGCGCTGGTTTCAGAATATCAAGGGATTATTGCCTAATTACTAAAATACACTGTATTTACGCTAAAAGTGCTCTATTTTCGCTGAAAACGCTAAATCATAGAGATAAGGCTAAGTATTTGTGACACTCATATCTTGCTGTGTGTTTATCCGTTTGGAGCGTATTATATCTCGTTGGAAAGATAGATCGGAGCTCTAAAGCTATTGTTCCAACTTCATTTACAATGCATTAATTAAAAGTTACAGATTAACCATATATTCACAAATATTTCTGATTTCACTCCGAACTCGTGTAGATTTGATGCGATCATATCTTGCTCTATTTTGTGCCGTTGAAAGCGTTTAATATCTCGTTGGAAAGATCTTACCATTTTCTAAAACTTGTCTTCGGGTGCTGGTTTCAATTTTTGGGTAAAGGGTAATTATATATATCATCCAAAAGAGTTTATGTACAGGTAAAGCAAAATGGGGGAACAAAAATGGGGCTATCCCAACATGGGATATACCATAACCTATGAGCTATACAATCACTCCCAAAGCACAAAAATAGAGGGGCAGTCTGCCACCTCACACAACCATGGCGAAAAATACAAAAAAGAGGGGCATTGAGCCACCTCACGCCATCAAGTATCAAAACATAATAAGTTCATGTGGGTAAATACTATAGAGGATCTTATACACCATGTATTGGATCCTAGCAAAAACTTCCTCCACACAATCTTTGGCTGCATCAAATCTTGTTGCATTTCGTACTCTCCATATCCAATAGATGGTATAGATGAATGCAATACGGACTGTTTTGGCCTTGATCCCCGCACCTCCGTAGTCCTTCTTGATCCATTTCACCGAGCTATCCAGAGTTGTCATAAGCCTAGGCATTCCAATCCAAGCTCTCACTTTGTTCCATATTGTACCTGTAAATTGACACTCAAAGAATAGGTGTGATACCGTCTCCGGTTCAACCTTGCAAAATGGACATAGGTTAATCAATTCAAGCCTACTAAGATTTTCATACGTTGCTAGGCGATTTCGAAAAGCAAGCCAAGCAATGAATGAGAACTTAGGTGGAATATAGGCCATCCAAATAAAGGCCATCCATACATGCTTAGTACCCTTAGTTCTAATCAAGTCATAAACTTTGGAGGATCACAATTTACCATTTTGGGAAAGCTTTGTGAGGCCATCAATTGTGCTCCCAATGGACTCATATTTGGAGATTAAGAGGTCCCGGATCTGCCCAATCTTCTTCATAAGTTGGGAGTCCCTAGTGTGTGGGGAGAAATCCCACAAACATCTCCCCTTAAGATATCCCATTTCACCCAAAGCGTGACACGCTTAAGGTGGATATCCCACAGGGTCTTGGAAAGTAAGGCATTATTCCAAGTTTTGGTGTGTCTAATACCTAATCCCCCTTCCTCTTTTGGGAGACACATGTCAGCCCAAGCCACCCTTGCAAATTTACACCCCCAAAACAATACAC